ACCGTCAAAGTTTGGGGTACAGACAAGGGCATTGGGGGGTAAGAGAGCAGAGCATTTCTTCCCCTCTGGGAAGTCTTCAATAGGACATTGTTGGCATCACTTGCTTAGGTAGAATGTCTTTCCGTGGATCAACTCTTAGCACTTTCAGAGATTTCAGAAATTTTTGTGACTAATGATTCTTATGTATATGTCATCCTCACATTGAAGACTCTCTCATTTTATCAAAGAACTACCAGCCTATGACATGAAGACTGCTTATCTCTCCCTAGGCCCCAAGTTGTTTTTCTTCCCAAGGGTGAGTTTTCAGTGGACAGATCTTTTCCTGTGGATCATGCTCCCTTCTGCAATATTCTTCTTTTTGCCACACTAGCATTAGATACAAAGTCTAGTTTATCTGTGTGCATATGCATATCTAGCAGCCTATGGATGATCCTATCTTATCAAGAGCATGCAATCTGAACATTTCCAAGAAACCCACCTCCATAGATTCCTATCCTCTGTCATCCATTTATAATGTCACATCATAGTAAAATAGGAGGTACTTACTCCCTGATGGTGTGAAGGCGGGGTGGGGAAGCTCGGAGAAGAGGGATTGCCGTGGAGTCATGGTTTATCCCATAATGTAACCCAGCTATATGCAAATTAACACAGACCTACACTGGAAGGTGGGAGGAAACTGAGATATGGGAGATTTAAAGTTTATCTAAAAGGGAAACGGTAGCCCATAGCTCTTTGGGTCATTCCTGCCCAGAAATGGCAGATACTACATTTCTGAAAACAAGAAGGATGTGTTGGGTATATATTTGCTCAGGGTTTAGACTGGGGGATATGACCATGGACTTCAGCTCCGAAAGACCTGGGTTCTGTCCTTTGCAAACTCTGTGACCCTAGGAAAGTTATTTAATTTCTCTAGGACTCAGTTTCCTCTCTTATAAAACAAATAAATGAGAATAACAGTACATACTCATAGGGCTGTATAATAGTTGAGATAACTAATAGTTAAGGTTGGTTGTGAATGATAGAAAACCTAGTATATCGGTTACTGTAACAAGAACGACATTTACTACTCTTTTATATAAAAGACTGGGTCAGTGGTTTAGGGCTGATATGATGGATGCATGCTCACCAGGACATAGGCTGCTTTTATTCTTTTGTTCTGTCATCCTCACCCTATGGCCTCTACTTCATGATCCAAGATGGCTCCTCAAGCCCCAGCCATTAAATTTTCATTCCAGCCATCAGGGGAGTGAAAACAGGAGAAGAGGGAGGAGGACCTACAACTTCTCTTCGATCCCTTTCATTTATAAGTCATTGGCTAGAACTTAATCTCATGAACACTACCTGCTATAATGGAGGCTGGGAAATGTAATTTTTACTCAGGGCAGGCATGCGCTTAGCTAAATACTGAAAGCTCTTTACTATCGAAGAGGGGGAAATGGGTATTGGCTCAAATAACTAGAAATCTGCCACAGATTTTCATAAGATTTAAATGAGATGATACAGATGGAGGGTAAGCACACACTAAACACCCAATGACCACTACCACCACCATCATCATCATCAACACCATCATCCCCATGAGAATGTAGAGAGTATGTTGAAATCATCACCAGATGTTTCTTTATTTTAAACTCATCTTATTAATAATGTCACTCTTATCCACCTCCCTTCTAAGACACTATCAGCTTTATCTTTTATAAAGGCCAGACACCTATACCTTACGAAATAAAACTATATAAAAGGAAAGCAAGGGAATGGTGAACACAGAATTCAAGATAATGGTTATCTTTGGCTGGGGAAACAGAGGTAGATGGAGGAACCACCTAGTTATTTCACTGTCAAAGCCCTAGTCTTTATTTTGGGCAGGGGATTCACAGGTGCCTTCTTGCATTATTAAAAATAACTGATAGCCAAATAAGAGTAGAGATACCTGGACCAATAATGAGGCTGTGTCATAAATCAAGGATTAAAATTATTCTGACTCTATGCACATGAGGTCTTTTAATTGTCTCTGTGGGCACAGTATTGCATGGCTTACGTGTCTGCATGTCAATAATAGACAAAAATAGTACTTTCTATCTGCATAGACTTTTAACTTTTCGAAGTGCTCCTACACATCCATAAAAACGGCTTGAGAAGTTTATTACACATCATCGAGAGTGTAGCATTGTATAAATAGGACTATGGACTTCTGTGTCCTAAGGGAAACTAATTTATTTTATTCTTACAGTGGCTCTATGAGGTTGGCAGGGCAAATGTGTTATTGCTTTTCACAGATGAGAAAGAAGGAACTGAGAGGGCAAGGGACTCTAGTGAGGTTATGACTAGTTGGTCTGCAAGGGAACTTAAGACTGGATCTCTTGCCTAGTGCTTCTCCCTTTAACCCAGCTCACTCCCAGTTTTTATGCATCCATTAGGCACGTATTCTGTGCTACATGCCAGGCACATTGTGCTGATGTGTTTGTGTTCATGTAGGTGTGCGTTTTCTGGAGACTGTGTGCAGTTTATGTAACCTTTATGCACATGCACATGAACATGCCCTTGGAGTCCTTGTGTGCCCCGAGGCCTACACAGACCACGTAACTCAGAGAGGAATCCCCAGCTGGGGTTTCTGTTGTCTTGTTATTCCTAGGTCACTGGGCTTCAGCATCTCCCCAGAGCCCCAGCTAGTTGGGAAGGTAGTTTGGATATCAAGGACAGATCCCCAGGCAGGGGGCATGGAGCAGAGGAACCAACCAGCCATGCTTTAATAATAATAATAATAATAATAATAATAATAATAATTACTATTTCCTGATCATTTATAGTGTGTGAAGAGTTCTCATAAATATGATCTCATTAAATTCTCACTCACCCCTGAAAGTCAATGTTATTATTTTTCTCATTTGCTCAGATACAAAGAAAGGATAAATGGCTTGCTCATAGTAACCCAACTTGAGGATGGACTTGAATTCAGGTCATTTGTCTCTAAACTCTGTTCTCTTTCCACTGTGCCTTTCTATCTCTGAAAGGGCAAAGAGCTTATCTTCTTTCTAGCCATGTGGAGAGAAGCAGGTGAAAACGCAATGCCAAGTACTAGGAAGCCCCCAGTGACGCTCTTTGTGCTCAGAAAAAGACCAACTCAGAGCTGGGAGCAGCCCCAGACCAGGGACCTTCCATCAGTGGAGAAAGAGCCTGAGCAGTTGGAGCTTTCTGCCTCCCCATCCCTGCATCCGTCTCTTTCAGTCCTGGGCATCTCCCATGGAAGCCTGGGCGAGGTGATAGCAAGGTGAGGCAATACTACAGAACCAGAGAGGGGAAGGTGGTTTCCAATCTCTGTGGCCTGAGGCGGTCTCTGTGTCTTTGAAGAATCAGGGGGTGCGGGGAGCTCTCTAACCACATCCACCCTCAGCTACTGCAGCTGGAGGTGAATACCTCTACCTCCAGCTCCCAGACCCGTGTCTATGCCGCTTTTGCCATGCTGTTTTATTGTACTTGTCTGTTTTCCTCCACGAACATCATTTACCACTGTGAGGCTGAGCATGGCACCTTATACACAGTTAAGTTGTCCACAATTAACTCTGCTTCAAAAAGGCCAATATCTGTGTTTCCTTCCCGGCCCCATGGAATGAACTCTGCTGCCCACCCTGGAAAGAACTGTTCCGGAAGGGTAACTCCTGCCTTTTGCTCCACCTCTCGCTCCTTCTGGAGTGTTGGGGCAGCACATTAGGGGCCATATGTGGCCATAGCTCAAGCCCCATTTTTAATTTTGCGTTTTCAGTAATCAAGCTGAGGTTCTGTCTTCACCTGTCTGGTTCCTTTGTCTTATTTCTCAACTCTTCTACCAGTCAAGAGCGTGGAAGAGGTCAGCAGGGATGTATTTGATGATCATCCCCCACCCCCATCAGAATGTGTCTAGAGACTCTGTATCAGCTTATATTTAGAGCCTCCCCAGGCACCTCCCCTGACCTGGGCTATTATAGGCCCAGCTAGATCCTTGGTATCTTCGTCAGAGGTAGGGGGCTAATTGAGACTAGAACTCGACTTCTTAAAAATACCCACTTCTAATGGTGCAAGTTCAGGGACTAACTCTTCCACGCTGGAGATCAGAACCGAGTTGCCAGACCTTCCTTTTTGTTACATTGTCTTATCTAATTCTCTCCACACCCCTCTGGGAAGGTATTGCTATTCTCCCTGCTGAGGGAGAGGAGCAATGGCTTGCTCAGGATCACAGGGGAAGTCTGAAGGTCAGTCTATCCTTTTCCCACTCAGTTTCCTTTTTTTTTTTTAGCTCATTTACATGAAAAAAGTTCAAAGTTATAGTTGCTACATTCTTCATAATTACACAATGATAAATCTTTAACTGAAAAACAAATGTATGAGAAAAGAAGTGCAAAACTCCGAGGAAAATGGTCTAGAAAATATTCGATACTTGCCTCGCACCTATTTCGAGGACGAAGGACCTCTGTAATTCTCTGTAATTCCTGCTCATCCCGAGGTCTCCTGTCGCTAATACTTACTAGTCAGCCACCTCTCGCCTTCAAAATACACCCCTTCTCCCAATTGGCTGCTGCGGTCTAAAAGAGACAGACAATTGGAAGAAAGTGGCTCTTCTATCTGAATTATACAGCTACTTTCATACGCCTCCCTCTTCCCTTTTGCTTGGCCCTAATCAGTTACGAACTAGGGTTTCTCAGCCCCCATTCCCTGTCCTTCAGCCCCACAGCCCCCAGCGCGCAGGCCCCGCCCTCCACACGCCGGATGCTTTGCGTCCTCCCCTTTAAGGCCAACTCCTCCCCCACGCCCACACCTCCCCGGCCCCGCCCCGCCTCCCCAAGCCCGGCCCCTCCGACCCTCCCCTTTAAGGACCGGCCCCGGACGCAGACGAAGCTGTGACGCGGCCGCCGGCCCCCGGGCTGGGTACATTGTCGCGCGGCCGCTTCCCCCCCGGGCCGGGCCCCCGCCGTCCCGCGGTCCCCCGAGCTCCAGGCCCCCGGGGGGAGGGTGGGAGGGACGGAGCAGGGCTGGTGGGCGCCAGCGGCGCACGGCGGGACCCACGGAGCCCCGCGACCCGCCGAGCCTGGAGCCGGGCCGGGGCGGGGAAGCCGGCTCCAGCCCGGAGCAAACTTCGCAGCCGGGCGCGGGGTGGCGGGGACCCTGTTCGGAGCTGGAGGAGGGGGCGGCCGCGGGCCCTCCCGCTTCTGCTCCCGTGTCTCCGGGCACCATGCTGTCCAACTCCCAAGGCCAGACCCCGCCGGTGCTGTTTCCCAACCCGCCGCCGCCGCCGCCGCCGCAGCCCCCCGCCCCGGCCCAGCCTCATCCCCCGGGCCAGCCGCCGCCGCAGCCCCCGCAGCAGTTTCCCCAGTTCCATGTCAAGTCGAGCCTGCAGATCAAGAAGAACGCCATCATCGACGACTACAAGGTCACCACCCAGGTCCTGGGACTGGGCATCAACGGGAAAGTTTTGCAGATCTTCAATAAGAGGACCCAGGAGAAATTCGCCCTAAAAGTAAGTTCGGGGGCCGGGGGAGGGGAGGATGGGCACGGGGCGGGAGAGGGCTCCCGGGGACGACCCCCGCCTTGCCCTTCGGAGCAGTCGAAGCTCACAGTCGCCAGGCGCGATCGCGCGGACCCTTCCCGGACCCGACGTCAGTCCGACCCGGCCGCGGAGGAGTGGCCGCGGCGGGGCTGTCGGTCCCGGGAGTCCGAGGGGAGCCAAGTGCGCAGCAGGGGGCGGGCGGGCCGCGGGGAAGGTCAGGTCCGCGCGGACCACGCCGCCAGACCGAGTTTCCGGTCACCTCCGGGTGTGAGTGGCGGGACCCGAAAGGACTCGTGAGGACTCTGCCATTTTGGGGTTTGAGCGGGATCCAGCCGAGGCTCAACGGTTGGCTTCGGGACCACTTCTGCTAATTTCACCCCGGCTCAAGGAAGTGATTTTCGAGGGTTGTGGTTCCCCATCCTCGCCTCCCTCCTTTCTTCTTTCTGCGGGCACAAAAGGCCCATTACTCATTGAGCTGGTTGGTCGGTTAGTTTGGAGAAGTCGGATCGCAGAGGTTTATTTAGCCTCGCTCCTTATTTGGGAGCCGGAATGTGTGATTTCACTTCCCTGGGCCTCCCGAGCGCGGCCGTGCCGCCTTGGGGCGCGCCGGCCCGGGAGGTGCCAGGCTGGAGATTCCGCGGGGACACCGCCCCCCCGGGGCGCGGGGGAGGGACTGTTTTGACCCGAGAGCAGGCTCCCCTCCTACCTTCAGTGCCTGTGAGGCTCCATATGGGAGGCCAGCAGGCTCCGGCGCGATGTCTGCTGTTTCCATAGCTCCATTGATCATTGTGAACCCGGTGTCTAAACCACGGCTTGGCCGGGTGCTGATTCCGCAAATCGGAGATGGCCACTTGAGCCCTGGACATAGGCGATTGGTGGACAGTAGGAAGGAGCGTTATCCTTGAGCTGGGGAAACCCAGCCTCTTTTTTTTTTTTTAAGGGGGTGTGGTGGTTGGGGGTGGGGTGGGGATGAGAATTTAAGTGAGAATACCTATTTTAGAAGTTAAACAGAATGGATTGGAGGTCTGATGAGATGGGTGGGTCCCCAGTGCCCTGTGAGCCGGTGTTCAGGGTCACTAAAAAGGTTTTCCCCTCAGACAGGTTTCAGATCAAACCACATCTCTAAAGGTGACACATCAGGCCTGTTTCCCCTGGGGCGTCTTAATGATTGGAGGAGAAGAAAAATACTTCCTGTGTTATATTCCCCCCCCCCCCCGCGCCCCTCCTCAGCTAGCTGTATTTCAGCTATTAATGCACAACTCAGATCGGTGTGATAGGTGGAACTGTTGGGATAGATAATTAGATGTAATAAAACTGGCACTTTGCAGTTGCAGAGGGCAAGCAGGTCCAATTTCCAGATTTTAAGGCCTCTAAAATTATTTCCTTGCTGCTTGCATCCTCCTTTGGGGGGAGAGCTTTCAGCTAGCCCCAACACTGTCAGATTCTTCGGTTTTTAAGCTGTTGCTGTGGGCTTTTTGGTTGTTGTGCCTTAGACCACTTTTTCCATGCTCATAAGTGGGGGGAACAGGGAGGAGCAGTGGTGGTTTAACTGTGGCTCTGACCTTGGGGAGTGGAGTTGAGTGAAGACTGTTTGACCACAGTTAACCTGTACTGGGGAGGAAGTGACAGACGTTCTTTCTGGGAGAGTTTTCTGTCCCTCTGAGAGGCCATCTGCCTTCACCCATAAGCAGTTTGGGGACGATGGCTGTTCATTCCCTTGGATAGCTGGAATATTATATAAAGACGACTTCAGAACAAAAGCTCTCAACTTCTTTTTATTCTATTTAATGACACAGAAAACTGCACGCTAAAATGTTTTAGGATGGCAATTCGGATTTGTTGTAATTCAGATTTCTGTTCTTGTAATGAATAGGGGAGAGATTTGGATATTTCCCTCCTGTAAATAGTTTTGAAAGGAAAAATCCAGCAGTATTCTAAATAACGCTCATAATTCATTCTCCTCAGGTTAGAAGTGGGTGAAGATTGAAGTCAGTCTGTTTTGACAGGCAGTCTGCTCCCAGATCTTATAAGTTGACTCAACTGTTAAATTGTAGATTCCCACACATCTTTGTGTAGAAACTTAATAATAGAGGAAGAAAGAAGGTATGAGGCATTCAGAGACTGACAGCAGTGTCAACAGCACTTCCATATCCAAATATTGGCTAAGACATAATTACAGCTTGTGGGGGGAATCTGGTCCAAAGAATCCTGTTTGAGACATACACCAAAGAGATTTCTAGATCTTGAATCTTGATGAACTTAACCTTAGGTGCTGAGTAGTGAAATGATTTTCAAAACTAGGAGTGTTTTGATTATAAAACAAGGGGGGTGGATGTTGTGGGCTAGCACGGATTGCCCCATTGGGAAGGTGCCGGAGGAAAAAGGGATCAGACCTTTACATTGTGTGTTAGGCTGTTCCTGGGGATTTGGGGCAGGAGCTGTAGGGTGGGAGCAGGGCCTCGGATGGGGTTCTGAACTCTGCTGTTTCACAGCTCTGAGAGTGGATGGGAGGTGGTGGCTACCGTGCCCTGCTCCTTCTATGGTCTTTTTTTTTTTTTTTTTAAAGATTTTATTTATTCATTTGACAGAGAGAGAGAGACAGCCAGAGAAGGAACACAGCAGGGGGAGTGGGAGAGGGAGAAGCAGGCCCCCTGCCCAGCAGGGAGCCTGATGTGGGGCTCAATCCCAGGACCCTGGATCATGACCTGCGCCAAAGGCAGACGGTTAATGACTGAGCCACCCAGGCGCCCCTCCTTCTGTGGTCTGGTGACCTCTTAGCCCTCTTAAGTGAAATCAGTGCTTTAAAAAAAAAAAAAAAAAAAAAGGCCAACTCGCGCTGCTGCTTTTCTGCCTCCACCTCAGAGAGCTAACACTTCAGGGCTTTTAGTGGGTGCCGTGACCTCACCTCACCATCTCTCTGGCCTCCTGTTGCTTCGCTCTGGGTCATACTCACACTTCGTCGGGGTCGGAAAGGGACTTCAGAGGTCATCTCATCCAACCCCCTTGTCTTGCTGATGAGAAAACCAAGACCCAGAGCAAAAACTCACTTGAGGTAATAGAGCTGTGCACTTGGCCGAGGCAGGATTAGAACCCGGGACGCCCGACTCCCCGTCTCAGGCCTCTTCCCACTTCGTAACCGCAGTGATGTCCGCAGGCTCGGACCTGGGGTCGGCTGCTGCTGCGGAGCTCCTCATGCCTGAGGAGCTACTCTCTTAGGTTAGGCCCTTGACTGTTGGCGAGGGGATGCTGGGTGGGTGTTTATTGCCTCCGAGGTTGGAGGGGCAGCTTATATACCAACTCAGCAGCTTCATGAGTTTTAAATCGGGTAAAAAGCTTTTTCTTAAAAAATTTTTTATACCATCTCCACCCCTTTTAGGGAGTTATTTGATAGAAATCTTATTTTTTGTCTAAGAACGTAGGAATTCTATTAACTGTTTCTTTGGTAAGGACACCTAGTCTCAACCCACTTGTGTAATATAATTGGTTGTATTCCCGTGGGGGTTCCTCAGCTGCTTCCTGCTTCACTGTGTCATGGTGACTCTTGGGTATTAGCTGAACAAATTTAATTAAAGCTGGCACTGTTGTCCCTCTCTGCTGCGTGACTCTGATTAGTTGAAGCATATTATTACTTTACAAAATATAGAATGTTGTCATACCTTATCTCTGTTTATCTTTCCATTGCGTGGATTAGAGAAAACAAGGTCCTGTGATGTCTTCTCCTTTCCTTTCTCCGGTGGTTCTCCCTCCCCAGGTCACTTTGTGTCACTGTGGTGTGTCTGCCTTTGGTGTTCCGAACGGGAGATAATTGGCACCTCCCATGCTTGTTCTGGAAACAGAGGGAGACACAGGAGCTCCCCCTGCCCCAGAGTACAGGCAGCGTCCTATCCAGCACACCTCATGCTGAATACCTCCTGGGGAGCAAGATTAGTAGCATGGCTGCCTGAGGGGCAGTGTCCCAAAATGGGGTTTGCTGGATGGAATCACATGGTGAGGAAAGTTTCATTGACTAAATCGGCCTCTTTTCTTTTAAAGAAAGAGAGAGCATGAGGTGGGGAGCGGCAGAGGGAGAGGGGGAGAGAGAGAATCTCAAACAGGCTGTAGGCCCAGCACAGATTCTGAGGGGGGGCTCGATCTCAAGACCCTGAGATCATGACCTGAGCTGAAATCAAGTCGGATGCTTAACCGATTGAGCCACTCAGGTGCCCCAAATCAGCCTCTTCTACATCCACTGTGGTTATAGGTTGTTAACAGTTTGCTGAGCATCTTACTATATGCTTGGTTGTGTAGAGGATACAGACATATAAAGTGCCTTAAAATTTAGGGGGTCAAGAAACCGATTTGGAGAAGGCATTAACAGATGTAGTCTGCATTGTCCAATATGGCAGCCAATACCCATGCATGGCTATTTAAACTAAAAATAGTTAATCTAAATTAAATTAAAAATCAGCTAGCCACCTTTCAAGTATTTAGTAGCTACACGTGGCTACTGGCTGCTGAACTGGATAGTACGGAAGAATATCTACCAGTAGAACTGGTAGAAAGTTCTACTGGACTGTGCGGGTCTAGAGGTGAAATTGTGTGGTTGGGGATAGAAGAGTTTTGGAAGGGAAATCTGTGAGGATCCTACCTAGGAGCCGCTGCGGTCTCATTGCTGGGCCTCTGAAGTCTGAGCAGATCTGTAAGAGGGGCTGGTGGCGCTGGCTCTGAGGGGAGAATAGGGGATCAGATGGGCAAGAAGTGAGTAGGGCTGGTGGCCCAGAATCGAACTGAACTTAGCTTTATATTAAAAGTAGTTTTTCTAGTATTTGTGGGGTATGAAGTAAACTAACAGGCTGTTGTAAAGAAGGGTGACAAATCGGGGTGCTTGGGTGGCTCAGTCATTAAGCGTCTGCCTTCAGCTCAGGTCATGATCTCAGGTTCCTGGGATCGAGCCCCGCATTGGGCTCCCTGCCCAGTGGGGAGTCTGCTTC